TGAACTGAAGGAAGTAGCGAGGCCTGAAAATATCTGGTGAGAGATTGTTCATGGCAAAAGCCATGAGGCAAAAGTAAGCCTGCCTGACACGTTTGAGAGACAGCCGGGAGGCGGTATGGCCAGAGCAGACTGAATAAGGAAAAAGGAGTAGGAGACCAGGTCAGAGAAGAATGAGGACTTACAGGCCTGTGGAGGACTGTGGTTTTACTCAGAGTGGAAAAGCAGACACTAATGTTTCTGCTACACAGAATCTCAGTGTGGTTTAATGGGCAAGGATGAGAGACACTTCCAGTTGTCATGTCTGGGGAGGGCTTGTTATTGGCATCTAGTGGGTAGAAGACAAAGATGCAAGCTGCAGTGCACAGGACAGCCCCACAGCAAAGAAGTACTCAGCTCCAAATGCCAATGGTGCCAAGGGTGGGGCACCCTAGAGCAGAGGGCAAACAGCATGATATGTGTTCACAGGTCACTGTGACTACTGTACTGGGAATGGACAAAGAAATCCAGGTAGAATGGAAGCCACCACCATGACCCAGCCCAGAGATGTGTCTAGAGCACCCAGCACAATGCCTGAAACTGCATATGCATGCCTCGGCTAGTAGGCTAACACCTCTCTGTGTTAATTGGAAATACCAAGCTGGGGCTGGCCCAAAGGATCCCAAAGCCTGAAGCCAGGAGGCTGGGTGAGACCAGTGGCCAGCCTTCCCTCTGGCATTTCTAATAATCTGACTCCCACAGAAGATTTGGGGTACAAGTACTTTTTAAGCCTCTTGTACTTGCTCTGCCACTTCCAAACTCAGCTGACCCCAGTTTTGTTTTTTTTTTCTGCCAGTGGGAGAAGACTTGTCAAATCTCTTCCATCGCAGTCACCCCTTCTTCTTGGTGGCTGTGGACAAAAATCCATCCTACACGGGGGCTCTGAGCTGCTACTGTGTTACTCTGGTACAGAAATGGGTAGCTGGCAAAGGCTGGCTGTTTATCCATCATCACTTCTACAGAATGTGGAATGATGGAAGAACCCCACTCACGAGTCTACATTGTGCCCATAAACATGCTTGCCACTCCTGGAAGCTATTCCAGTAGCTTCCAGGCTGGTTTCTATAATTGTGCTTCCTCTTCTAGCCCATCCCAGCACTGCCACCAGGCTCCACCTCCACACTACTCCTTTGCTCAAGAGCGCTCAATAGTTCCCTCTTGCCCCGCAGGACACAGCAACAGTGTCTCATTCACAATCTACCCAGTAACCTTCCAACTTGTCTACTTCCTCTCGCCTCATCATTCCACCTCTTTATCTCTGTTTCTCTGTCTCTATCCCTCCCTTTCCACATGTCCCCCACTGCATTCTATATCTCAGCTTTTGTCTGTGTCTTACAGGGTATGTCCCTTGCCCTGGATCCAATAGGCTGTATCAGATCCTTGTCCTACCACATACTGGCTATGTGATCCCTGAGTCGCAGTTTTCTTGCCTATAAAATGGGGTTGGTAGAAGTACCCACCAAATAGATTTCTATTAGCTTAACTGAGATAATTGGTATAAAGTGCTAACACTTGGGGGCTGGGAAGTCGGCTCAGTGGTAGAGCGCTTGCCTTGCATGCATGAGGCCCTGGGTTCGATTCCTCAGCACCACATAAGCAAAATAGAAAAAAGCCGGAAGTGGTGCTGTGGCTCAAGTGGTAGAGTACTAGCCTTGAGCTGAAGAGCTGAGGGACAGCACTCAGTCCCAGATTTAGGCCCCACGACTGGACCCCTCCCCCCAAAAAATTAATAAAGTGCTAACACTTAGTGTGGTACTGGCACTTGGTAAGAATGCAATGAGTGCTGGTTTACCTGGCAGGGGTCTTCCACATTTAACCCTACCTACCTTGATCCATGCAGACCATCCAGCAAGACCCCAGCATACAACATCCACAAATCTTATTGGTCATGCCTATGACTATGCTGTTGCTCAATTGTGGTTTTGTTGTTTAACTGAAGACTAGCACATCCAGTGTCTATCTGCTAAGCCCAAAGGATTAGTTGTGCTTATTTTTCAGGATTTACTATTCACCGGTACAGCAAACATTTCAGAAGACAGCAGTCTCTGGAGAAGATATCAGCTGCCCACTAATGGAAGAGTGAAGCAGGACCATCAGGGGTGAGCAACTGATGGTTCCCTGTGCACACCTTCTGCTGAAGTGCTGTTACTGTCAGCTAAGATGGCCAGCTGAGTACAGCAAAGAGTGCACCCACAGCACCCAGCACTGTTCAGGGCTTCAGGGCAAGGGATTCTGACTCTCACACCTGCCAAAGAACAGGACAGGTGCAGAGGAGGCCACTTATCTATCTGATATCAGGAACTGCCCTGAGCCTCTTCAGATGTGACCCTTAGGCATGGACAGCCAGAGCTAGGAATAGGATTAGGGGCTGTCCTTAATTCCAGGTGTATGAGGCTTCCCCAAACCCATGTTCTGCTGTCTGTGGAAGCCAGAGGAGTAGCTTTCCTTGCTGACTGTGGTCCAGGGAGGGAGGCACTGTGGCAACCTTGCACAGTCCAACCCTCAAGATCTAAAGACAGGGAAGAGTGGCTTCCAGAAAGCCAGAGCAGCAGGCTCACACCTAGAGCACTGTGCTACCCAGCCACCAGATGGACCCTGTAGGTATCCCCACCATGCACCAGAATGGAGAAGGGCAACCCATGCCAAGCCAGCCCCCAATTTCCCTCCTACTCTGCTTCCATGAGGCACACAGAGGCTTTCAGAAGAGAAAACAAAGCAGGCTTGGGACACAAGATAGGCAGTTTGAAGCTGCTGAGCAAAGAGGGAAGATGTGATTTTGTGTTTCCCTAACTCCAGGATGTAAAAGTGCTCCCCAAAAGCCAATCTCAACAAGGACAGGACAGAGAGGGCCAAGTCGAGTACTTGTAATCCTAGCTACATAGGAAGTAGAGATAAAGGGTCTGTTGCCTAAGGCAAGCCTTGGAAAAAGTGTCAGACCCTACTTGAAAAATAATAGAAGTAGAAAGGGCTGGAGGAATGGCTCAAGTGGTAAAGTGGCTGCCTATGAAGTTCAAGGCTCTGAATTCAAGACATAAAATGGGGGCAGAGCTTGGGCTAAGAGATAGGAGATGCAGCACTAGGAAAGGTTTGGAGAGGCCCCATCCCTGACAAGTAGAAGAATAACCAAGGTGTGAGGACTCTGGGACCAAGCACTGCCATCCAGGTTCTTCAGGGCTCAGTGCCAGAACAAAGTGTCACTGCCGAAGGCAGAGACCACATCCTGCTCTCCCTGCTCAGGGGTGCCCACCACTCAGCCCACAGTGCAACTGCCTTAGGACACACAGACCCCTCATGACCTCACCCTGCATTGTCTCATTACTCCCCAGGGCTCTTCACAAAGGAATCTAGCCAATGTGCCATGTCCATTCACACATTTGTCCTCCATTTACTTTGCAGTGCTACTATCTAACATCTGCCTTGTTCTTCCTAGGCAGGGCTAGATCTCTTGACCTCTGACTCAACTGAACCACTCCTCGCCTGCCTAAACCACTCCTACCCCAGCCCCTCCTCACCAGCCATCTTCTCATCCTTCAAATTTCAGGCAAGAACATCCTTCTAGACCTCCCAAGGCTGGGTAGGTTACTATTTCAATGGTTCCCCCACAGTGTCATTGTATCTTCACATCACTGTCTTTTTCTGGGGTTCTGTGAGGAAGGAACCTCATGTAGCTTCTCAACTGTTCTATCCCCATGCCCTAGTATCATATCTGCCCTGTAGTGTTGATATAAAAGAGAAAAATGATAACAAAGCTTGAGTGCCAGCTTAAGATGTCCAACAGTTGATTCACAGGGATTCTAGAATGAGAAGAAACAGTATAATAATTATCAAAGAAATAGTGTGATAATCAAAGAAACAGTGTAATAATTTTTGCCAGAACTAAAAGACAGAAGTCTTCAGATTTGAAGAGATCATAAAGATTCCAAAATTATGAATTTTAAAAGAGATGGCATTGTGAGATTGCAGAAACAAAATTTAAGGTTAAAGAGAAGATCATGAATATCTTCAAGGTAAGAAAACAGGAATGAAATGGCATCCATTTTTCAATAACAATATTGGAAACCAGAAAAAAATAGAGCAATACTTTTGTCAACCTAGGATTTTCTCCTCAGTCAAACTATCAATTAAGGCTGAGTGCAGAATTACAATTTGTTCAGACATAAAAAGACTCCAAATGTTTTTTTTTTTTTCTTTCATGTATCCAGGAGCTGCTGGAAGAGGTTTTTATTTCACCAAGACTACAGTAGAAACCACAAAAAAAGAAAGACATGGAACTGGTAGTAGGCCCCAGAAAGGAAATTTTCAAGGAAAAAAAAAAGTGTAACTGAAAGACAGGAGCTCCAAACTGAAAGAAGACACTAAAAATATTGAAATTTTGCTAGACTTTGCAATAAGAGTTAGAAATGATATAAAGGAAACTAAACCAGTAGGGGAAAATGAAGCAATTATCAACTCTAGATAAGACATAAAGTTGAAAAAGAGAAGAAACATAATCATGATACAATCAGCTTCCCTATCCAGCAAATGTTATTTGCAACAAAATTTGTAACAGCACAAATACTAAGTAATTATAGACCCATCCAGACAATGATCACTCTTTTGGAAGGGGGATGGAACAGAAGGAAGAAGTATATTTTCAGGGTAGATAGTAAGAGAGCTGAATCTCATCTGCAAAGTAGAACTACTTGAAAAATATCAGTATAGGTAAGCACATTCATTGGAAACATAGATTTCTATATTTCTATTTCAAACAGTTGAAAGTAGTTGCTTCTGGAGAGCAGGAATAGAGAGGCTGGTTTTTCATTACAAGTGTTCTAATTCTTTTGAACTACTCATGGATGTTGCTTTGAAAGTGTGAAATTAATCATTCTGAAATGAAGTTTACAAACAAAAAGAAAAACTTTGGCACACTAACCATTAGATTCTGTACTCATTAAAGTGGTCCTTCCTTCCCCTCCCCCAGTCACCTGCTCATTGGTGACCCCTGGGCGCAGGGTCCCATGCTTATAGTCCTCTAGTAGTTGCACGGCTTCTCTCAGACGTCTCTGTGAAGAAAAGAAAAGAGATGTGAGTGTGAGTTCAAGGCTCCTGAAAGTCATATGGAACTGTACCAGCATCAACCAAAGTGCCAGTGTCCACCGGGTATCGGACCTCAGCCGTCAGTTCATAGAACACACAAAACATCAGAAGGATACCACCTAAAAACCTTTCCACAGGGAAATGGCTGGACTTTGATTGTATAGGCTGTTCAAGCACCTAAATAAGGGCTGTTCAAGCACCTAAACAAAAAGTAAGGAACGTATTCCAAAGCCATATCTCCATATTTTGTTGAGTGAGAAAGCATATTGCCAAGTAGTATGATGTGTTCATTATACCAGACAATTCACACACAGAGATAAAGCAATATTTTCTATGAGAACATCTGTGGTATAAGTGTAACAAAAAGATCTGGGATGAGACCCACTGGTGACAGGGTTAGGAACTTATAGGTAGGAGAAAGGGCCTACACTTGACATGGGATGTCAGGAGGAACTTTAAACTCATTTGTAACGTCAGAAGCTTTTATAAGGCAATATACTATGCTTTCGACATTTTAAAAGCACTAGCAGAGATTTTGTACAATAACTGACACACACAGACAGAACAAATAGAAAGTTGAATCATATGACTTTTAAAATCTTAAAAGATAAAGAGAGAGCAACAGATAGGAGGTAGTCTTTACAAACGTGTATAAGAATGTTAAAAAAAAAAAAGTTCATAGAAGTATGATTCATATAGCCCCATGCTGCAAGTAGTTAATAAGAGAGTGGAAAAGTAAAACACAATATATACACAAAGAGATATTACACAACAATTCAAAAAGTAAACTATAAATATATGCTACAATGTAGATAACTCTCACAGACATTATAGGGAAGAATGCATTTTTCCAAAGATGGCAACCTCAATATCCTCATCTCCTGTGATCTTCTAGAACTGTTTTTATCCCTTTGAGCCTAGATAGGGCTTTGTCACTGCCTCAACATATAGAGAATGGCAGAAGGAAAATGATATGACCTCAGGTTAGATCACAAAATGCCCTGTTCTTTCACCTTTTTATCTAGATGGATACTCTCTTAGAATCTAGCCACCATGCTGCAAGGGAGCCCAAACAGCTCAGGAAAGATCTGCATGCATAAGAACTAAGCAATGGCACACAGCTCCAACTGAAGCACCAGTCAACAGCAAGCACCTATTGCTCTACCATGTGAACAAACCATTGTGATTTTTTGTTTTATTTTAGTCAGTTGTGGGGCTTGAACTCAGGGTCTGGGCACAGTCCCTTAGTTTTCGTGCTCGACTAGAGCACTACCACTTTGGGCAATAGATCCACTTCTGGTTTTCTATTAGTTGGAGATAAGAGTCTTTCCTGCCTGGGCTGGCTTCAAACTGTGATCCTCACATCTCAGCTTCCTGAGTAGCTAGGATTTCAGGCATGAGCCACCAGCACATAGCCCAAGCAAACCATTTTTAAGTGGCCCTTCCAGCTCCTTAGTCCACCCAGCTGTCCTAGCCATTGCCATATGGCAAAGACAAATCACCCTCTCCAATCCCTACCTAAATTGAAGCTCAATAAGCAAAGTAATTATGTTATTGGGTATTTCAAGCCACTAATTTAGGGGTGGTGGCAGAGTTTGTTACATAGCCACATAACCAATGCAAATAATGGTAAGTGAGAAAAGACAGGGCATACACCTGTAAGCCTAATGCTTGGAAGGCTGAGGCAGGTGGACATTGAATTTGAGGCCAGCCTGGGCTACATAGCCAGTCTCAAAAAAAAAAAAAAAAAGCAAACAACAAAACAGGCACAATAGAGTACACATGCAGTTCAAAAACAGGCAAAACTAGCCTAGGGCGGTAGAAATTATTACAATGTTAAACTTGGAGGCAGTACTGACTGGGAAAAGCACACAAAGAATCCTGTGGCATAATTATTCCATGTCTTGATTGTGGTGGTTATATGGGTATAAACAGATGTAAGAATTAATTAAACCATACGCTTAGAAATCATGCATTTTAATGTATATGTGGCATACCTAAAAGAATGAACAATAAACAGACAACAGTGATAAAGGTAGCTTATGTCCAGGTATTAAAGATTCTACACAAAAGGATGGCAAGTATGGGGGAAGAAACCCAGTGACACCAGCTGTTTCCCTTTGTCTATAAGACAAGACTAGCTAGGAACAGCAGTACAGAGACCTCAACACTAGTCCCTTGATCTAGGAAAAGGGGCAGTACCCAGAGGGACACTCAGCAGCAGACAGGGTGTGCTGAGCTAGCTGACAGCAAGGTGGCTGTTCAGCCACCTGCTATGCTACTGCAGCAAGAAACACTGCCAACCCAGACTAACAGCCAGGTCCATCATCCATCAGCTTGTCTGGACAGCAAAATGTGGCCAGTGCTGGTCAACCCCAGCCTGGACCACAGCCGAACATCTGGCAATCAGGGGGCCAGGAAAGCTTTTCTTGAAATAGCCTCAAGGCTGACAAGAGCTGTCTGTCCTCTTTTAAATATATGGATGTCAGTTTCCAGATTCCAAAGAGTCCTTTCCTGGAATCTTCTTACTTCCAAAGTAAATAGCTTTGTGGGATTTTCTTTCTTTCTCTTTCTCTCTTTCTTTCTTTTCCTCTCTCTTTCTTCCTTCCTTCTCTTCCTTCCTTCCTCCTTTTCCTTTTCTCCAGTTGTATAAGCAATTCATTCTGTTTAAAGAAAATGTCAGAAAAAAATAATAAAGCACAAAAAAGTCATTTTAAATCTCCTTTGCAAATACTACTTGATATAACCATGGGAAAAATGAAGTTGAGGGTCAGGTATAGTAGTATGCATCTATAATTCTGGCTACAAAGAGGTGGAGATAAAAGGAGTACATTCCAAGGCTGGTCCTGGCAAAAACTAAGACTTTATCTTAAAAACAACAAAAGCAGCCAGGTGCCAGTGGCTCACACCTGTAATCCTAGCTACTCAGGAAGCTGAGACCTGAGGATCACAGTTCAAAGCCAGACCAGGCAGGAAAGTCTGTGGAACTCTTATCTCCAATTAACCACCAGAAAACCGGAAGTGGTGCTGTGGCTCAAGTGATAGAGCGCTCACCTTGAACTGAAGAGCTCAGGGAAATTACCCAGGCCCAGAGTTCAAGCCCTACAATGAACAAAAAACAACAACAAAAGCAAATAGAGGTAGTAGCATGGCTCAAGTGGCAAAATACTCTGAATGTAAACCCAGCATCACCAAAAACAAAAGAGGGGGACTGATGTTCCTTCTAGATTTTAATTTGAGTGTGTGTGTGTGTGTGTGTATGCGAACACGCGCATGCACGGGTGCATGTGTGCACACACATCCACAACCCTGCCAATATTGGAGCTTAGGCTCAGGGTCTGAGTGCTGCTGTTTAGTGTTTTTTTGGCTCAACGCTGGTGGTTTACCACTTGAGCACTCCTCCACTTCTGTTTTTTTGTGGTTAATTAGAAATAAGAGTCTCACAGACTTTCTTGCCCAGGCTGGCTTTGAACCGTGATTTCAAGTCTCAGCCTCCTAAACTAGGATTAGTTATTGGTACCTGGCAATAGTGATTGTTTCAACTTGTTTGAGGTCACACAAATAGTAAGTGAGAAATTTAGCATTTGAACCCAGAATTTAGTCAGATCTTTGCTCTGCGTATACTTCCCCTACCCACAACACTCTTAAAACCTAGAGCTGCACCAGGATCCCTTATCCCAGCCAGCTCCCTCCTGTTGCCTTGGCCTCTGCAAAACCTGGACAATGCTTGCTCTACTTTCCAATGATGAATAGTGAATGGCTCTGTGCTCTCATTATTTTTCCCACTCCAGGGATTCTCCTGAGTTCCTATAACAACCTGGCCAGATTCCATCTCATTTGACACGGTCATCAAAAGGAGCCCTCTTGCCAAAAGCATAAGTTCCAATAAGTTCTGAGCTTGGCAAAGGGTGTGAGTGAAAGAGAACTAAATCCAAAGTTCCTAAAGACAAGCCTGTGGACCTAGGCTTGAAGAAAGCTGGATGGGGCTCTTCACTCTGGGTGCTATAGGCTAGCCTCAGTCTTCCTAAGCCTCTGTCAAGTTTAAGAGACCAGGGTTCCAGGCCCTGTGGGATGGGTAGGGCCCAGACCACCTGTCCAGAGAGACCTGGCTATTTCAGAGGTTGGGAAGGGGCAAGTTTGGAAAGACTTGGGGTCTAAGAGGAGGGTCTCCCTGTTTTCACCATCCTCTCCCACTGCTGGGTTGTGAACCTCGGCAGAAAGGCCCAGGTCTTTGAGGAGGAGAGATGCTGGGAGGTTGGAGCCTGGTGAACTTTGTAGGAAGTCTTTTCTACCAAGAACAAAGTAGTCAGTCCCTGAATGCAAAAGCTGTGAGGGGGTCCAGCTGGTACAAAGACAAGGATGCAAAGCTATGACTCTGCCTGAGGCCTAGAGTAGGACAGCCCATCCTGCAGCCTTCCAAATACCTCTATTGGGCCAGCCCACTGTAAAATGTCACCATGACAGTCTCCTTGACAGGAGTGTGATTTCTAGAAGGTCCTCTGCAGTCCCATATGTCTGGAAAGGCAATTCAGAAGCAGTGACTTTGTTGTTGGTGGTGGTGGTGGTCATGAGGATTGAACTCTGGGCCTGGGCACTGTCCCTCAGCTCTTCAGCTCAAGGCTAGCACTCTACCACTTGAGCCACAGCACCACTTCCAACTTTTTCTGTTTATGTGGTGCTGAGGAGTCAAACCCAGGGCCTCATGCATGCAAGGCAAGCACTCTACCACTGAGCCACCTTCCCAGCCCCGCAAAGCTAATCTTTCCTGGACACACAGTCCCAAGTTACATCTAATGGAAGATGCCTATATAATCCAAATATTTAACGTATTATACTATTTTGTCTATTTAATACAACTAGTGATAGCACTTGGCCAAGAGGTAAGTAACACCCAGAAATATTTCACCCCTCTTCCAATATAGAAACTCACCTTGTGGGTGGCACTTAGATACTCCTGTCTTCTGTT